CATGTACATCGTAAAATCTTTCCATACATCAAAGAAAGTTGACTTATTGCATATCTCATTAGAAAAACAGACCAAAACACAAAAACTTAAATTGTCCTTTGGGCCGTGACCATGAGGTCAAGGTCAGATGGAACCTACCAGACTGACATGTACATCTTGCAAGGACTGATTTGTTTATTGTGCATTATAATAGAGATAACCGGATTGTATTTGGAGCTTGGCAAACCTAAAACGTGAGCTTTTTTCTGTCGCAAATTGAGTTTTTCTGGTCGTATAAATAAGGTAGGCGTAACGCGGAGCAGCCAATTTTGTGTATTACTGCGTTTGCGCTAAAAGTAGATATAATGTTATTATACTGGTTGACGATATGTAGGTCGTCATATTAGAATCAGACTTTGTAAAACGTCACCAGTGTCTGAGCAGAAAGTTGGTGAACCAGGGTTATGTCAAAGAACGTCTCGTCCTTTTTCTAAAAAAAAGTTCATCGGACGATACCAAGACCTTGTTGATAAATATTCCGTATCAACTTCACAAATAATACATGATGGTCTTGAGGTATAGATTCTAGGTATTGACGTTGTTTATCATCTTAATTACGTGTAATTTATTGAATCCCTTGACACAAAAACTTTCTGGATCAGGGGAGGCGGCCAAAGTAAATTATGTTAAAAACTATTTAAATTTATTGAAAATTTGACCAAAACTGACGTTACAACACAAAAAATGCATACTTGAGGGGCTATTTCTTCGTCATTTTTAATGCGATGTTCCAAAAAGAAGTTATTTTGTATTAATAGTTATGTCACATCTATTTCTATGTGAATTTTATTTGTTTTTTGGCCTGATTAAAAAAAACATCAAATTTTTAGGGCCAATTTTAACCCTTCGTGAACTTACTCCTTTATAAAAGACTTAAATGTGAAGATTTGCATGTGAAATTATGTTTTGGGTTGTGGGAAAAAGAGTTCTAATTTTGCCTCCTTGTCAGCTTGGTAGATTACCCACACAATTTAATGTTGTCAATGCAATGCTTAAATATTGGCACCGCTTAGAAAATTTAGATAATCAATTTCCTATTTTAAAAGATGCCTATTTAACTTCCATAGAGTTGTACGAAAACAAACAACCTTCTTGGTATGGCTCCGTGAATATACAGAAAAAAGTTATTTTTGACAACCGAATTGACTTAAAGACAATGAAAATAAATAGTGTTAAGAAGACATGTAAAATATTAACGAAAACTGGAGTGTACAAACTTCAAGTTTAAACAAAACTTTGTTGAAAATTATTTAACTATTATAAATGATTTTTGGTAGAGGAGAATATTCACCAGATTCAGAATATCAGCTGATAGACTTCAAATAGAGTTCGGAAGATATCAAGGTATTATCAGGCAAAATAGATTGTGTATTCATTGCTCATCTGGCGAGGTAGAAGATGAGAACCATTTTTTACTGACTTGTACAAAGTATCAAGTTGAGCGTTGTAATCTCATCAATGCTATCAGTTTACAATGTCCTAATTTTACCCAATTACAAAATCCTGAAAAATTTATTTGGATGATGAGTAATGAATGAAGATAATGAAATTTTATGTAAAATTTGTTGCCTTATAGCCAAACATGAACATCCTAATTAGGGAGCATTGGGACTTCACTTGCACCTGCTACTGTTTGCTAGAGTGTTGAATATGTATATGTCTGTATATATATATGTATATGTGTATGTATAATTATACCCCTCTAACAAGAAATTTGTTTTGCATGCACACGTATAAAAATTGCGGTTTTTATCCAACGCAATCATAGGTTTGAACGTTGTTTTCATTTTAGACTTAATTATATACTGTTTACAGCTATACATTAATATTATCTCAATAAATATTTTATTTCGGTCAGTTAAAAGTTTTTAACATTATATCTAAAGATATTTAATATGAATTTTGTGGATTGCTGCCACTGCTGAAAGTAGTAACTACTTCCATGAATGCTTTTATAAAATGTATGTCTTCTTCTTCTTCTTCCATATACTGCCCACATTCAACTTTCTGAATATACTGGCAAAATTGGTTCTGCATGGTTAAAAACAGGATAAAAGCAAATGTTAATCTTTAGTTTGTAAGGTTGGTCACTTGAGATTTGAATGTCTCAAGTGACTGTGCTGTGGTGATCTCCGGGGGAAGCTTGTTCCAGTATTTGGTGGTGTTCACAAAGAAGAACCATTTCCTGCAGTCTTTGGTTGCTGTTTGTACCATGTTAGAGCCGATGTGTAGGTTTCGGTTGAGGAAGCCAAGGTTTCTGCTGGCTTTGCTTGTAATGTTGTTGATATGTTCTCCCCAGTCTAGTTCGCTTGTGATGGTGCAGCCCAGGTACTTAATTGACGTTTCATGTTTTAATACATGGTCATGTAATATATAGTCCCATTTGATCGGATTTTTCTTTCTGGAGACAGTCAGCACGCTACACGTTTCTGGGTGAAACTCCATCTTCCACTTTTCCTCCCATAGTGCCAGTTTATCTAGGTCTGTAGGTGCCGGCAATCAGTATCTGAGGCGATGGTTAGGTAGACTACTGTGTCATCTGCAAAGAGACGAACTGTTGATTTTAGGTCTTTCGCTGGGTCATTTATGTAAAACAAAAATAGACTAGGGCCTAAGACTGACCCTTGTGGAACTCCAGATTCTACCTTTGCTCTGTCTGACTGTTCACCCTCAACTACTACTACTTGGGTTCTATTTGTCAGGAATGCTTCTATCCAGCTGTTGGTCTTTCCCCTGATTCCATAGTGGTTGAGTTTATGTAGGAGTAGGCTATGGGATACCTTGTCGAATGCTTTTGAGAAATCTAGTATCAGTAGGTCAGACTGTTTTCCCAATTCAAGGTTCTTTGTCAGGTCGTCAATGCATTCTAAGAGTTGCGTCTCGCAGGATCGTTTACTTCGAAATCCATGTTGTAGTGGATATAGGATGTTGTTTGCCTCTGCGTGTTTCATAATGTGGCTGATAACAATATGTTCGATGATCTTGCAGCAGATACATGTAAGAGATATTGGTCTGTAATTTGCTGGGATGTACTTTTGACCCTTTTTGTATGCTGGTGTGACTGTTGCTGTCCGCCAGTCATCTGGTACTTTGCCTGTCTCTATTGAAATATTAAATATGATGGTAAGTATGGGAGCGATTTCGCTGGCAAGTTCTTTGAGTATCATTGGTCTGATGTTATCCGGTCCAGCGGCTTTGTGTGGATTAAGGTTTCTCAGTTGTTTTTCTACTCCGTTGTTTGTGATAAAGATGTCTCTACTGTCAGGGTAATTTTCTGGTGAGTCGGACATATGATCTTGATTGTAGAATTCACTGCTGCTGATGTTGTTTGCTGTGGAAAATACAGATTGGAATTGTTCATTTAATATGTTTGCTTTGTTGGTTGGATCTGTTTCTAAGCTACCATTTTTTCTTAGAGGTGCCACTCCACTTTTATCGCTTTTCTTGTGTTGTCAAGATGTCGTTAAAAGTAATCATTATATTTAGACAAAGAGATGCCTAAACCTTTTAGTATCATCCCTTGGTAACTTTTGGATTAAAGTGATAGAAAAAAATAAAAATTACTTTTGTGCACTAGTCACGAGGAGGTTAAGATGGTATCTAATAACACACTTGCTAACATGTCCAAGTGCATTTGCCCTTGGTCTCTTTTCCATTCTAGTGACGTATTATTTTTATTCCTTTAACTTGCTTTTCTGGATAGAGACAAGGTGGACCTCTGTTAGCAAACTATATGATAAAATGATTATATTATTTGTATTGGCACTCTGGCATGGCAGTAAAATCAAAGATATGAAACTTTGAAAGAACTAAACTAATTTATAAAAATAATAACAAGTATTATGTTGTGATATTTTATACGATTATATGTATGATATATATTCTATGATATGATAATCTCATCCACTTTATCAGTTTATGTGAATTTAAATGTTTATGTGTTATGAATGAGAATGTATCGTGTATTGTTGTCATTATGTCCCGTCATTGAGGGGGATAGGAGGGGTCCTGATCCCGAAATCCTGGGCTTAAAAACATGGAATCCCGAGGTCCCGAATTTAAAAAATTTAAATCCCGACATTCCGAAATTCGAAAAAAGAATTTCCGGATCCCGAAAGGATCAATCCCGAAATCCCGAGCTTAAAAACACCCGATCCCGGAGTCCCGATAAAAGACCTAGAGTGGGTGGCGCATATTCGCCACAAAATTCGTTCACTTCCACCTACATCCGACCTACATTCGAATATTTGAAACGTTTTATGTAGGTTTCAGAAAGTTTACTATATGAAAAAAATGTTTGATAAAGGAATTCTCTTCAAAACATTGGTTAAATGTTTTAAAAATGAACGCAAACTCAAGAGGAAATCAAGTTGTTCTTGTACCATGGGGGACACATTTTCGCCGCAATGTATGATATGACCATCCTCATTATCCTTGTATATTATAAAAACAATTGTTTGCAATTACATGAATTAGCTTGAGAGATCATTCCTATACGATTTTTCTAACAGATATTTACTTTATGACTGCGCATGCGTGCCATATAAATCTTACATAATTGCCAAAATCGTTCAAAAACACCAGCGTATTTCTTTATATGTGCGAATAACATTGGAAATGGGGTAAAGAGGAATATCAACAGTTCGAACATTACAAACAGCGTTTAGCATCTTTTTAGGCAAGTATTGGGTAGAGGCACACGAAATTTACAGAAAAAATAGCAAAAACGGCGAAAATGTGTCCACGGCGAATATGCGCCACCCACTCTAACCCCCTCTTGATTGGAAAATAAAAAACTTTGAACTTTGAACTTTGAGTAACCGATTGCGTCGAACCTGTACCAGTAATCATCCATGGGGATACTCGATACGTAACCCTCCCCCTTGACGTTAAAACATCTCAACCAGTAGGATAACGGAAAATGCCATGCTCTCCGTTGTTGATTTTAAAATTTTGAAAATTCAGTCACTTCCGGTTGATTTCGACACTAAACTTTCAACAACTCGAAAATTCAGCGATTTTTAGTGCTAGATTTTTCAAGTGAGACTTTGAAAGACATTTTCTTTGATAAAAAAATCAGTCTAAGGCTCACTTAGTTTGATTTTCTATAGTAACGTGTGTCTTCGGCCTTAACCAGGTCAGAAATAACCATTAATTGGTGGATTATACCTGATACCTGAATTCAGGTATAATCCTAGTCCAAATAATTATGACGTCTTGCAAGTCGTAGGAAGGCGTCCCAGAAAAAAATTAAAATAGCCTTGCAAGACGTCATAAATTTTTTTATTTGGACTAGTATAATCCACCATTTGACATGCAATGTACAATGAGATACACCAATTGAGGTATAATGCAGTTTTTATCCCCACAAAATGTTTAAGAGATATTGGAGCATCTTTTTGCATTTACCATAACAAGCTTTGATGACCACTTAGTGATGATATGTAATTGATTCTAACAATTTGTGCTGCAATTTGTTGGAGAAACCTAAAAATTAATATGACCCTCCTTTTCCAACTTTTAAAATTATTTAATTCTGAGTTTTCATCTATTAAATCTCACTTTTGTTCTGTAGTCTCTTCCTATCCATGTTGACTAACAAATCATATAGTTGGAACTGATGCAGACTTAACAAACCAGTCGTGAATATCCATCAATTAGTGGATTATACCTCAATTAAGGTATAATCAACATTTTCACAAAAGGCAGCACAGGAAGTTGGAAGCAATTACATGTCATCAATGAGAACTCATCAAAGCTGAAGATGGTATATGCAAAAAGATGCTCGAATATCCATTTATATAAAAATTTGTGATGAAAATTGCATTAAACCTCAATTGGTCTATCTCATTATATGTCAAATGGTGGATTATACCTGAATTGAGGTATAATCCACCAATTGATGGTTATTCCTGACCTGTTAACGTTCATTGTCTATATTAACCTCCAGTAGATTGGAGCACAATTTTACCTGTTAGGCGAGAAAAATGGACTTGTTTACCTGTTTACACCACAAAATTTACTCTGAGTGCAGACAAATGTCTACATCTGGAAGTTTTGTAAGGCATGGCATGACCTAGATATGTAAAATTTAAACATATAAGGAATTCTGTCAATTTCTGATGCCATCCAAATCAAAAATTTACTCCTGTCCTGACATAGATTCCTGATTTATAATAGGGAAGATCCTATTAAAATAGGTATTATCACCATTTATTGGTTGTTTACCCCTAATTGGGTATCTATTTACAGTGATAAATATTTGAGTAAATCGCAACATTTTCCAGTTCAAGGCATCAAGACCATAGTTAGACAGATACTTCAAATGAGAATTTGTTAAAAATTAATGGCAGGGGAGGGGGAAGCAATGCCCCAACAAAAAGGGGACAAAATTTTTATGACATTGAAAACTCTCCTGTGAATTGTCTTTATTCAAGTGTATTAATATATGTAGTGTAATACATGTAACTCTACTGATATACATGGAGCTTTTTAAAAATATAAAGATTTTGCATGAAAAAAAATGATATAAAGACAGAGGAAACTTGACTTCAATCTTATTCTTGCAGTTAGTCTCTTAAATGAAGTCTGTTATACAGCTATATGTATAATGTTTCCATGTTAGATCAATTGACTTCAAGAAGAATGTTCAGGTGTAGATCTACATGTATGCTAGTCCAAATAATTATGACATCTCAAAAGGCTAGGAAGGTGTCAAAGAAAAAAAAATTAAATACAATGTAGCCTTTCTAGACATCATAATTATTTGGACAAATGTATGCCTCCTGTTATCAAATACAAAAACAAAAAAATATGTGATAAGTCATAAGAGTTTTTCTCCTTCAGTTTCATACATTTCACTATTAATGAAATAATGACAAAGTTCCACATCTTATATTTTACCACAAATCTTGCAATTGTCTTGGTAATTTGTTAAATTATGACTTTTTGATAAAAATTGAATTTCAAGTATTATGTTCAAAATGAAGAAAAGATGTTGAACTAAGCAGGGTACTTCATACATGTACCTGTCAACTGACCCGTATTCTGCGGGTGACACCCGTAAATTTCACCTCTCACCTGTTTTTTTTTTTTTTTTATACCCGCCAGGTCGTTACATAACCCTGGTATTCAGCATATGACCCGTTTTCACCCGTATTCATGTGCCTTGAGACTTTTTGAGAATGAAATGATAGATTTCAAAAGTGATTTTCCTCTGAAATATTGGAAAATATGTAATTCTTCCTGGACAGGAAGTTCAACTAGCTATGTTAACTGTCAAATTAAGTGACCAATTAAGTGCATGGCTTCACATGACAACTTTGGTTTCATACAGTAACACACTATTAATTAACACCAATGACCTTAGCCTAAGGTCATAAATAATATGTGCATTTCAAAGATGTTTGACAAAAAATTTGAGTTACTCCCCCATTTTTGCCACTTTTCACAGTATACTCCTTAAATTGATGTTTCTTTATGAAAAGATGAAATCTAAGCCAAATTGAATGCAAAGATATATATAAGTATATTACTAAAATGATTTTTACTTTCTTAGAGCAATTAAAAAATTAAAATTTGGAAAATTATTTTTTCAATCTCTACTTCCTTTAATGCTTAAATTTTAAATTATATTATTTAATATAAACCTTATAGATAAAGATGATTTATTTCCATTAAATGGGCTCAAAAAGAGCATGACATTAAATAAACAACAACATAAATAATAATGAAGTATACATACAAAGAAAAGAAAAAGAAGTTTGACACACACATATAAACAAATATATATATATATATACAAGTCTAAATTGAAAACAACGTTCAAACCTATGATTGCGTTGGATAAAAACCGCAATTTATATACGTGTGCATGCAAAACAAATTTCTTGGTTGAGGGGTCTAAATACAGCACAAACAACATTTTCCAAAAGACCAAAAAAGTGAAAAAGTATATTTTAACAAAACGCATTTGACTAGCAGGTCGAACAACAGATGTTCTTAAACCCCTGCTGACTGCCATGGCGATTGCCAAATAAACGGATCACCAGATGTAACAAAATGGATCTTAATTATTAATTTAATACCAAACAGGAAACAATCAACTTGCGGAAAAGATGGTATACCGCAAACTTGAGGTGCAAAAATTTGTACACCATATACGGATTTCAACAATTAATGTCTCTTCAGTGATGTTAGGAATCGAAACGGTTATTGGAAGGCCATATAATTTACCTCAATTTAGGATAGACTTTTGAATTTTGAAGAGTCAAAAAGGATGAATGGATTATATAAACCCGAAGGCAAATATAAAAAAGCCCAAACAAAAAAATATAAAGAAGTCTAAATTGAAAACAACGTTCAAACCTATGATTGCGTTGGATAAAAACCCCAATTTTTATACGTGTGCATGCAAAACAAATTTCTTGCAATGCAATTAAAAATTTACTTTTGGGTTATCATGGTTATTATGGTGATGTTTATTTTTCTGGATAACCATTATACACAGAAGTTTTTTTTTTTTTAAATTCAAATCTATTTATTTCATGACGAACTACCGGTATATTTTTTATACGACCGCAAAATTTTTTTTGGGATCGTATAATGGCATGATGTCGTCTGCGTCGTCGTCCAAAGACACATTGGTTTCTGGACAATTACTTGAGTTTAAGTGAATGGACCTCTATGAAATTTTTTGAGAAGGTTCAATACCACAAAAGGAAGGTTGGGATTGATTTTGGGGATGATGGTCCCAACCGTTTAGGAATTAGGGGCCCAAAACAAGCATTTTTCTAATTTCAGGATAATAACTTTTGTATAAGTATTTCGATTGCTCTGAAACTGTACCACAATGTTTAATACCACAAGTAGAAGGTTGGGATTCATTTAAGGGGTTATTGGGCCAACAGTTTAGGAATTAGGGGCCAAAAAGGGGCCAAAAACAAGCATTTTTCTAGTTTCCAGACAATAACTTGTGTGTAAGTGTATGGATCTCTCTGAAATTGTACCACAAGGTTCCATATAACAAAGTGAAGGCTGGGATTGAGTTTGGGGTTAATTGCCCCAAACATGTAGGAATTAAGGGCCAAAAAAGGGCCAAAAACAAGCATTTTCTAGTTTCCAGACAATAACTTGTGTGTAAGTGTATGGATCTCTCTGACATTGTACTACAAGGTTCCATACTACAAAGGAAAGGCTGGGATTGAGTTTTGGGGTTATTGCTCCAAGGGGGGTTTCAAAAAGTTGGGGGGGGGGGGGGGATTTTTTCCTAATTTTTTTAAGGGATTCATATTTTTTTTCAAATTTTTTATTAAATTTCGAATTTTTGAAAAGTTTCAAGAAGAAATCTTCAATTGCACAGTATTGCGCAATGGATTTATAAGATCTTTGACCACATTTATTTTGTGTCAGAAACCTATATTATGTCAAAAATTTGATCACAATCCAAATTCAGACAGTATCAAGCTTGAATATTGTGTCCAAATTTGCCCCAACTGTTCATTGTTCGACCTCTGCGGTCGTATCAGGCTGCACTCAGGGAAGCATTTTATTGAACAGAAAATAGATTTTTATTTTATAGACTGAAAACATCTTTTGTTTTAAATTTGTTTTGTATAATTTTTTATTTCAAATGAGCTCAACACAAATACAATGTTTTGCTTTAACAGCTGTTACATAATTTAACTAAAATCAACAAAACATTTGCGTTTAACTCATCATAAAAGAGAAATTCTAATACGACATGCTTCTTTCGCTTTGTAAACAACAGGGTGATAAATTCTCCATATATCTATACTTAGCGCAGACTCAGAGATGTACTTATTTAATAATGGCTGTTACAATTTACCTCCCACATAAATCCGCATGTATTGTTGCCTTTGTGCAAACACTATGTCCATTTTGCTGTTTTGGAATTGAAATTGAAAAAACGATAGAACTGTTATTGTTATTCTAATGCATCACAAAAAGAATTAATGCATTAGAGATAAAAAAAATATACAAAATTAAAATGTGGATTTAGCATCAAAGTTTAGCCTATAACAATTAATTCTATAAATACCAAAAATCATTAAGACATGACAAAAGACAACAATGTATTTTGTAATGATTTAATTTTGGATGTAAAACGTCTTCTGATTGGCTGAAAGTTTTTTGTCTATCAGCTCATAGACATAATAATTTTGTCATGTGACTGTGACGTCATCAATGTTTTTTTTCATTTTTACTCCTTAAAAATGGAATTTAGAATTAAATTATAAGGAATGACTGTACTATTTTTTCTGTCTATTCGAAATAACCTAAAAAAAGGGGTTAATGGTAAAAGTGCTATGCAGGTTATTCAGTGTGCACCACATTTTGATGTTATTTCTTCATAGACAAAAAATATTACAGTCATTCCTTAATAAGCCATAGAAATGAAAGTTTTATATACTTTTGTGATACATTGCTCTTGTGAGGTATTAGGGAACGACCATTTAACTTCAAGGGAGGGTTATGATTTTTTCCTAAAAAAATATTCTGATCCCCAATTTGATGAAAAAAAATAGTCAAGCAGATGAAAAAAAATTGATATATAGCATCGAAAAACTAAAAAAATGTTCGCGCTATTCGTGAAAAAAAAATTCCCCCCCATAAGTTAAATGGTTGCTCCCTTAGATATATAGAAATCAGTCATCATGGCTGAAATTGTTAACTGACTCCTTATTGGAGTTATTTCCCCTGAATGATGATTTTTATCATTTTTTTGCAATTTTGCCAAAAACTATAGGAGTAAGAGAGACACTTTAAAGAGCAAAAAAGATCAGCAACATAAGATCTACATGTAAGTTAATATGGCCAAATTGTCACACTAGTTTATATGATTTATTGCCATTAAATGACTTTTTTTTAATCTCAATTCTTTAATAGATATACCAAACTGAACAGTAAAAATGATCATCAACACAAGACCTACAAAAATGCTGCTTAATAAGATCAACAAATAAGCAAACATAACTGATAGCATTAAAGGAAAAAAATAAATGTCAAAATTGCACATTTTTTACCAGATGAGGGTTTCGGGCTCTTAGGAGAGACTTGTTGCTTTTGAAGAATTTTTTTTGTGGTTCAACATGGTTGACAACTTTAATGAGAGAACTTTATGTGATTGCACAGGAAATGTTAGTTTCCAAGTATTTGTATAAGCCATCAGTTAGATGTACATTTATACAATGTATGTCTCAGGATGTCAGAATTCAAATATTTCTATTGATATTTGTGTGCCAATGTCACATACATGTACATTTGTAACTCTTAAGATCTTACTCTATTTAATAGGTATGACTAGATTTACTAAATTCACTGGTGGTCAAAGAAAAAGACCTGAAGAGTCAACTAAATGGGAAGATCTAAAGCAAAATCAGAAAAACACTGACAGAAGTAGTGCAAACAGGCAAAGGAATCCTGGGCAAGCAAGTTCAGAGTTTCATCACAGACAAGATGCTAGTTGTGGGAAATCCAGAGACGGTTTTAAATTGAAAAAATTTGGATTTAGTGATGAAAAGGAAAAAGAGTTGTTTACCATGTTAAAGAAGGAGACCAGAAGTGACAACAGGAGGGTGAAAAGACAAAAGAAAAAACAAGACGAAAAGGTAAAATAATCGACTACTACTCCTCATGGAAAATGGTTATGGGTAGGTGGTATCCATTGCTGTGCACCCAGCTGAAAAAAACTTTAGCATTATGTTAAATAGTATTGCTTAACAATTCTGAATATAATTAAATTTTTAATTATTGTGCATTCCAACTCATGATCACAGATTTTGTTGTTTTGTGCATTTATATGTACAGTAACAAATTCTTATTAATGAATAAATTTGTATATTCACTTCATAGTTGTAGGAGCAACAATATACAATTATGGCCCGCTGAGGAGGTGAATATCCAAAATTGTCAACCCGAGTAAGGGTCATTCCATGAGGACTTTAGCCCTAGGGGAATGACCCTTACTCGGGTTGACAGTTTTGGATATTCACCGACTCAATGGGCCATAACTGTTTTATTATACCGAACAAACAATTAAGTGTAAAATTTTGTAACAGATTGTCAAAACACCTACGCTAGAAAACTATTTTGTGTCTGACATTTCTCGTATGTACAACAAAGGTAGACTCTTTCTGTAAAATATAGATGGCCCTGAAAAGGGCCGTTTACATGAGATATCCTCAGCACTAGATGAATTTCCAAACCTTGTTTGATCTTGTTTATTCGTCACTTGAAGGGCTTCTTACCTGGCCGCTGCCATATTTGTTTTTGTTTATCTGATGTTAAGTGACGTCATACTTTAAAGGGCCTTAACTCGTGATCATTGAGGGACGACAAGGGTTATTCATTGGGGAATAATAGGGTTGTTCGATAGAGGCTTCAATTTGTCAGGGTTATTCACCGCTCCTGCCAATTTTTGGAAAAACATCGAAATTAAACTATGACACGTGATTCTGTATTAGCCAATCAAATAATTACTATATAATGTAAGGTATAATAACATAAATTGGCAATAGAATATATCAAATACTGGCAAAAGGGAATAAATAATGGATAGATTTTCATTGTTATAAAAGTACATGTAGTAAGCTTAAATGATTATTAATTCTGTATTACAGGTTTGTTATAACTGTAGGGAGCCAGGCCACAATATGTCAGAGTGTCCAACAGCAAAAAAAGACATTGAACATGGAACAGGAATTTGCTTTAAATGTGGATCTACAGAACACTCATCTAGTTCATGTAGAGTTAAAGTCAAGCCAGGTATGTATAAATGATGAACAAAAAAAATGGAAACAACACTTTTTAAATTTCATGTGTTTGAAGCACTTTCCTGGATTTACCTTCATCAGGAACACTCAAAGCCAAATATTTGAAAGCCAAGGATGGATAAGAACTGAAACAATTGAAGAGCTATATGACCAAAAGGGACATTGAAATAATAGCTAAATCCATCTAAGGACACCTTTGTCGAAGGAGTTGAAACCTTAGTTTATAATTCAGGTATGGATTGATACAATATTTTTTTTGAATAGATGACTATCAAGCCTTCTAATGATCTAGAACACTGATCTAAGCTTCTATTTTCCAAGGCTCTCACTGGAATCATTTCTTACTTTGTATTTAAGAACCACCAGGAAGAAAAAAAATTTACACAATGGCTTTTAAACAATAATTGGGATATTTCCCATGTAAGGTTCTCGTATTCTCATATCTCTATCTTTTTATGTATGTTAATTTTCATATCTAAATATTTATTTTTATTATAACTTTATGTTTTGAATGACACTTTTGGAATATGCTTTTTTCTTTCAAAGATTACTAGAAAACTTGCCTGTTTCTAAAAAAAGACAACTCTTACTTTAAAGATAAATCAGAACAACTATGAATACAATTTATACTGTGTTTAAACATAATTCTGACTGTCTTTAAAGTTATGGTTGATCTGTTTGTATCCTAGTCAAAATGGTTTCTCTAGAAGACAGACTAAGTTGTCTTGTACTCAAAAGTGAAATTGGTGCCAGCAATAGCAATTCTCATTTTTTTCATATCTGCTTTGTTGCTCCTTTACCTTTTCAGTGTCAGTGAGTATAAGATGTCATTTGTTTTATGAGAAATTGTAATTATCAGTAATTAAAAAAGCATACAGATCAGAAAATTTAAATTTTCAGGTAATAAAAGGGTCTGATATTTTTAAGAGATAAATCAAAGTTTATTTAGTTTTCATAATAAGGATTAGTTTTCTAGTTTTCATAATTGACTCACACCAAAGGGTTTGAGTCAATTATTTTTGTAATAAAGATTATCAAGGTGAATACAAAATTTTTTGGGATTTTTTTTTTTTAGAACAATGATCTAACACATGAAATTTATTAATTAATTAATTAAACCACAAATAAATAACTTAAAATGTGAAAAATTGGGAAAATTAATAAAACAATTTTTGTCGAGCCTGTGACTTCTATCACAGAAAGTGAGACATATGGATAGTGATCTAGTGACTATGGCGTTAATGAACTATTTAAAAGCTTAATATTTCAGAAGGTAGAAGACCTCATACTTTGTATATATAGATGCCCTATGTTATGCAGTTTCCGTCTGTCATATGTCCGTTGTCCTTGATCTTATTTTCATGGTTCAGTGACAACTTGAAAAAAAAATTAATATTTTATTAAATCTTAATTTCTCTCTTATTATGAGTAATAGGATAACTATATTTGATATGTGCATACTTTGCAAGGTCTTCATACCTGTCAGACAGTTTTCAATTGACCTTGACCTAATTTCATGGATCAGTCAGTGAACAAGGTTAAGTTTTCGTGGTCAAGTCCATATCTCAGATACTATAAGCAATAGGTCTACTATGTTTGGTGTATGGAATAATTGTAAGGTGTACATGTCCAACTGGCAGGTGTCATCTGACCTTGACCTCATTTTCATGGTTCAGTGGTTAAAGTTAAGTTTTTGTGTTTTGGTCTGTTTTTCTAATACTGTATGCAATAGGTCAGTTATATTTGGTGTATGGAAATATTTTTATAATGGACATGTCAGTCTGGTAGGTTTTATTTGACCTTGACCTCATTTTTAAGTTTCATTGCTCAATGTTAAGTTTTTATACGCCCGTTTACGGGACGTATTATTGTATACCGTTGTCCGTCTGTCCGTCCGTCATCCACATGTCGTACAATAATTCAAAAACGCTTTAACCAATTTGCATGGAACTTTGGTGAATTGTTTATATCTATTGACGTGAGCTCCCTTTCGTTTTTTTATAAATTTGAGATTTTATGTTTCGGAGTTATCATGGTTATGGGGTGTTATTCATTAAAAAAGGGTGATTTTCCAGTTTTTGGACAATAACTCAAAAATGCTTTAAGCAGTTTTCATGAAACTTTGGTGAATAGTTTATATCTGTTGACGTGAGCTGCCTTTTGATTTTTATAAATTTTAGATTTTACATTTCCGAGTTATGAGGTTTAATTCATTAAAAAAGTGGGATTTTCCTATTTTCGGACAATAACTCAAAAGTGCTTTGAGCATTTTTCATGAAACTATGGTGACTGCTTTATTTCTATTGACGTGAGCTCCCTTTAGTTCTTTTATAAATTTCTGATACATGTATGACATTTAGGAGTTATGGAATGTTATTCTTTGAAAAAGCGAAGGGCGTATCATGCGCTCATAACGCAGCTGTTTATTGTGTTTTGGTCTGTTTTTATACGACCGCAAAAATTAAAATTTTTTTGGTCGTATATTGGTATGACGTTGGCGTCGTCGTCGTCGTCCGGGGTTGTCCGAAGACACATTGGTTTTCGCACTCTAACTTTAGTTTAAGTGAATGGATCTCCATAAAATTTTACCATAAGGTTCAATACCACGAAAGGAAGGTTGGGATTGATTTTGGGGGTTATGGTACCAACAGTTAAGGAATTAGGGGCCAAAAAGGGGCCAAAAATAAGCATTTTTGTAACTTCCAGACAATAACTTGTGTGTAAGTGTATGGATCTCTCTGACATTTACCATAAGGTTCCATATCACAAAGGGAAGGCTGTAATTGATTTTGGGGGTAATTGCCTCAAAATTTTAGGAATTAGGGGTCAAAAAAGGGGCAAAAAACAAGCATTTTTCTAGTTTCATGACAATAACTTGTGTGTAAGTGTTTGGATATTTCTGAAATTGTACTACAAGGTTCCATATCACAAAGGGAAAGCTGGAATTGAGTTTGGGGGTAATTGCCCGAAACGTTTAGGAATTGGGGGCCAAAAATAAGCATTTTTCTAGTTTCCAGACAATAACTTGCGTTCAAGTGTATGGATCTCTCTGAAATTGTACTGCAAGGTACCATACCACAAAGGGAAGGCTGGGATTGAGTTTGGGGGTGATGAATCATAAGGGGGTTCAAACAATTTGGGGGGGGGGATTTTTTTTTTTCTTTTTTTCATTTTTTTTTTCTTTTAAAATTTTCCATTTTAAGTTGGTTATTTCTGATTTATATTTAAAAGCAAATAATAATGATATGGTAGGAGATAATTATTATATAATAAGTATTGTGCAATAGCAAGAAATTTTCAATTGCATTGCACAATAGCAAGAAATCTTCAATTGCACAGTATTGCGCAATAGCAAGAAATCTTCAATTGCACAGTATTGCGCAATAGCAAGAAATATCCAATAGCACAATATTGCGCAATAGCAAGAAATTGTCAATTGTACAGTATTGCGCAATAGCAAGAAATATTCAATTGCACAGTATTGTGCAAAAGAAGATACTTCGTATAAATTGCTTATTTCTTGATCAATTTCAATGGGGTTTTATTCTTGAATTCTTGGGGTTCTTTAATATGCTGAATCTTACCGTGTATTAAGTTTTTGGATTTTGGGCCCCGTTTTTAAATTGGTCCACATTGAGGTCCAAAGGGTCCAAAATTTAACTTTGTTTGATTTCATCAAAAATTGAATTATTGGGGTTCTTTGATATGCCGAATCTAACCTTGTATTTAGATTCTTAATTTTTGGTTCCGTTTTCAAATTGGTCTACATTAAGGTCCAAAGGGTCCAAAATTAAACTTAGTTTGATTTTAACAAAAATTGAATTTTTAGGGTTCTTTGATATGCTGAATCTAAACATGTATTTAGATTTTTGATTATGGGACCAGTTTTCAAGTTGGTCCAAATCGGGGTCCAAAATTAAACTTTGTTTGATTTCAACAAAAATTGAATATATGGGGTTCTTTGATATGCTGAATCTAACCATGTATTTAGATTTTTGATTTTTGGGCCCCGTTATCAACTTTGTCCACATTGAGATCAAAAGGGTCCAAAATTAAACTTTGTTTGATTTCATCAAAAATTGAATTCTTGGGGTTCTTTGATATGCTGAATCTAACCATGTATTTAGATTTTGGATATTTGACCATAATAGGTGAATGTCCAATTTAAAATTTTTAAGTTCTTAGACCACATTCATTTTGTGTCAGAAACCTATGCTGTGTCAAATATTTAATCACAATCCAAATTCAGAGCTGTATCAAGCTTGAATGTTGTGTCCATACTTGCCCCAACTGTTCAGGGTTCGACCTCTGCGGTCGTATCAAGCTGCGCCCTGCGGAGCATTTTATTCTTAAACTATAAGCATGTTTGTAAGGTGTATATGTCTGTCTGGCAGTTATCATCTGACCTTGACCCCATTTTCATGGTTCATTGGTCAATGTAAGTTTTCCTGGTTAAGTTGGTTTCTTAGATACTATATGCAATAGGTCAACTATATTCAAAGCATGGAATGATTGTAAGGTGTACATGTATGTCTGGCAGGGTCCATCTGACCTTGACCTTGTTTTCATTGTTCATTGGTTTATACAAAGTTTTTATGGTTTGGTCTGTTTCTTTTATACTATAAGCAATAGGTTTACCGTACTCTATTCGGTGTATGGAATGATTGTAAGGTCTACATGTATTTTTGGCTTGGTTTATCTGACCTTGACCTCATTTTTTATACGACCGCAAAAAATTTTTGCGGTCGTATATTGGTATGACGTTGGCTTCGTCGTCTTCGTCGTCTGGCGTCGTCCGAAGACACATTGGTTTTCGCACTCTAACTTTAGTTTAAGTAAATGGATCTCTATGAAATTTTACTTTAAGGTTCAATACCACAAAAGGAAGGTTGGGATTGATTTTGGGGGTTATGGTACCAACAGTTAAGGAATTAGGGGCCAAAAAGGGGCCAAAAATAAGCATTTTTGTAACTTCCAGACATAACTTGTGTG